TGGGAGCAGATATTTTCGTCTCCAATCACAGCTCGCCACGTGGAAAAGAAGATTATCTCTTTTAATTAATTAATTGAACCAGTTTATCTGGCCAATTAATTAATTGGGATAAATATCTTAATTAACATGATATTATCTTTATTTAATAAGATAATATCATTAATTAAGATATTATCCTAATAAAGAGAAGATAATGTCATTATCTCAGATATTATCTCCATAAAAAGAGATAATATCATTTAATTAAGATATTATCTCCATAAAAAGAGATAATATCATTAAATCAGATATTATCTCAGTCCGACTCGATCCCTACGAATTTGGGTAGAGAATAAACTCAGCATATTCTCTACGAAACCCTAGCCCCGAGGCTCCTATAAATAGATGACTTCATTCATCATTCAAGGTACATCTAAACCTACTCCTAATACCCGAGAAAAATACCCGAAGCTCTCTCTTTCTCCCTCTCCACTCTCCATATTTTCTCCACACGGCTCCGGCCACCACACACGGCTCCGGCCGCCCGGTTCACACCCTACATAAACACTACTCCGTACCCTTTGCTTAGCTATTGTTTTCCTACAAACACTCGAACTAACTTAGGCATCGGAGGGCCTTTGGCCAACACCCCCCGGGTGTGGTCTATTTACTCCAATCTGTTTTACAGGAATCGAGGAAGAGAGAGAAGGAAGATCGAAGGTTGAAGGATCTAGAAGCGAATATTCTCCCGTGAGATTATTTGCACAAACAGTAGCCATAGCCCTATGCTCGTTTGTGGAGCAAGATTCATGCAGTAGATTGTGTTAAAATACAATTAAACCAAAGGAGAAAACTAAGAATCAAGACAATTTGATACCTGATAGGTGTAAAGTTTAACATATATTAAGGGCATCCGCTGGTTGATCCTACTATAGTTCCTCGCAATACGGTTAACAGTTTCAGGAACAAATTCAAGTACGAGGTTCAAGTAAACCTCTTCTTTGTCTGTGGTTGAAAAGAAGCAATGCTTTAGGGCCACAATGTTTGGATGATCCAACATTTGCATAATTTGTAACTCCCTGTTCTTGTAGCGCTTGTCTTGAAGGACCTTCTTGATAGCAACAATCTCTCCAGTTTCTCTACATTTTGCCTGTGCAAAGAAAGTTTTATCAACACTAATTCATTGGAAAATTAGGTGGCTTCAATTGAGCAAAATATTTATCTACCTGGAAAACAACCCCAAAAGAACCAGTTCCAACCACATGTTCTGAAATATAACTCACAGTCTGTCAAAACCAAACAATGAAACAAAATGTAAGTCCCCAAAGATATATGAAATCACCACTTCTGATTTAAAATATTACTAAATTAAATTTGAACACAAATTGATTTTTATCCAACCTGCCTAGATTGACCACTTCGACCACCAACAGTTGTTCGTATTACATGCCCTGTTTCAGCACCCACACCATCAATCACATCCGGTTCACTATCCTACAACAGAAGAAATAGTAAGAACTGTCAACTGAGTGTAGCAAAAACACCAAATTATAGTCAAAACCAGTCACATTCAAATAGAGCCGGTGCCTGGTTCATTTTGCTCACCTGTTGCTTGTTAGAAATGTAAAGACCCACCATTTTTCATGTGATAGTTGCAACAATTGACAGGTAATGCAAGAATTTAACATGTTTCTTGAACAATTTAAAATGGACAAGGCTTACTCTATCCTCATCATGATCCGGCTTGTCTCTCAATCTCATCTCAAGCATCTCCCTCCCGAGCCAGTCAACCGAACTAGACGAACTCTTGAAGCCATTCACCGACCTTGAACTGCCAACTCCACCGTTCCCTAAGCTAGCAGAAGCCATAACAATGTCTGATCAATACCGCAGATGCTAGTACTTCCCAACCTTGCAATACTCTCTACTTCTGCGTCCGGTCCCATCCAAGTACCTATCTTTCTATTAAACAACAAGAAGAAAAAGAAAAAGAAAATCAAAACTCTTTAAGGGTCTTTTACGGGTTTGAAAAATTGCAAAAAACAACAAAGAAATTTAGACGAATTGTTGAACAGAAATGAAAGCCAAAAAAATAAAGAAACTTCAATTTAAAGTTAAACTAATTTACTTTCAGATCCACACCAAACTCACTCCAACTTTCTATTTTAACCACAAAATTCGAATGCAAAACACATTAAAATGAACGCCGATCCTTCAAAATCAATCAATCTCCACACACAAAAATCACCAGCAAATTCAATACATTAAAAATTCAGAGATTTTGAAAACGGATGGATCTTTTAGAAGACTGACCTGCAAACGTTTCGGAGAGGGCTCGAAGCAGAGCTCGCGCATTTTAAATTTTGCTCTTCGAATTTTGAGATTGGAGCAGAAAAATTTGCACAAGAACAAAGGGTTGATCGGAGAGAGTGAACTGTAGTTGAACAGATTATAATTATGAATATTATTAATTTTACGGAAAATCAATTAACTTTTTGAGCTTTTTATTGGTTTTCTTTTTCTCTGAGTTTTGAGCGGTGAGAGAGAGAGAAAGTGGACAGCTTTGGGTGGTTTTCAAAACAAAGAAAGAATAATGGAGTCGGGACAAATAAGACGCTGATGATGATATTACTATACCATACTCTGCTCTTTATCTAAAACTAGAGGAGGGGAGAGGAATGTAGATGATTATGTACTTGTTTTTCCTTAACTTTTTTTTTTTTTTTTTGGTATTACAAATTTAAAAGCTTTTAGAACATTTAATTTTTTTTGCAAATTCTTTTCTTTTAGAAAAATGAGATAAATTACATTTATAAGCGAGGTTAATATAAATACAAATAATGACATATGGTTAATACAAATACATAAGCATAGTAATCACAAAAGGTTAACTAAATATAGATGAGTCCACTGCTAACATCAAGCGCACTAGGTGTATCTCGACTTGCAACCACACATGACCAAATAAATTCTAGCATAAAAGCCACAAGCTTGGAAAAACCAGGCAAATGCCTCATCACACTAAACTACAATTGCAACTACAACTTTTAAAATCTCACAAGTAAAACCTATAAGTAGAGATTACAAACACGCAACAAACTCAAAAAGAGTTGATGCACTTATAAAACTCAAAAAATTGCAACATACAACAAGAAAATAAAAAGTTGATATGCTACCACATCGTCCCCAAGACTAGGGTGGGCATTTGAACCGGTGAACCCAGTCGGAAAAAACCGTGTTAACAAAAAGAGTCAACCTAGGCTCAAAAATCGAATCAGACCACTTTGGGTCAGTTCCCCCCCTGGTTATTGTCTTGGAAAAATTAATCTAAACCAAACTAGACTAGTTATGTTAAGTTTACTTATTCATTTATATCCAAAATTATTAGTAAGTCTAATTAATATTCAAATAACATTAGTAACTACAAGTAATATCTAGATATCTAAGCTTCCATCTTTCTCTCTTTTCCACATATTGCTTTTTATTTAGGGAGTTTCACTAAAATACCCAAAATGGGGGTTGAAATTATAAAAAAAAACCCAAGCACTATTTAAACATATAAACACACCCAAAACCCATCATTATACACACTCAAAACTCATTTATAAACACACCCAAAAAGTTGACTTTGGGGTTAATTTTGGGTGTGTTTCTATGTTTAAATAGTGCTTGGGGTTTTTTATAAATACATGTCTAGGATTGTGTTTTTTTTTATAAATTTGCATTCTATTTATCTTCCTCTTCATCTCTTTATCTCTTTCTCTATTATTTTATCTCTTCTACCCATTTTCTCTTCTTTCAATTTCTCTCTTATTCACATCTTTATATTTTTATCTTTTCAAATAGGGAACCAGTCCTAATTGAACCGAAATTGCATAGGTTTGATTTAGTTAAGTTCTTCTAGACACTTTCTATAAAAATCAAATCGAATTGGACCGTGTAAGTTCCGGTTTCGATTTCAATTCAAGGAGATACCCAGACAGAACTAAACCATGCCCGCCCATGCCCAAGACAACCAATCAGCCGCTAAGATGACCAAGCACCAAAATCCAGTCAAAAGCATTTCATTTAGACAATACAAACATGCACTACAAATATTTCATAAATATTTTTTTAAAGTGGAAGCTCACATGATTGATGATTTTTTAAGTGCTAAAACTACAAGACGTTCAAAACAAATTCGTATTGAAATAAGTAAATGGTGACTCGCACCTAAGGCTGGGCAACTAAACCGGTAAACTAAATCGATCAACTTCGTTTGGTCTGATTTTTTTATTATTTAATTTTGATGATAAATCAAACCGAATATGCCGGTCTAGTTCACAATTCTACAATCTTTAAACCATCAAATTTCTTGAACTAAACTGATAGCCATAAAATGACGAATATATCAAAAGTTGGTGACAAAAGAAATTAAACCCTTTATCTTCACTTTCCATCCCCATCGAAACAAAAATAAACAATAAAAGTGTTAGGGTTTCATCTTCTCTTCTTTGTCTTTCTCTTGACTTTAGAATTAAATATGTGCTCCACCTTAAATAATGATGTACCAAGTATTCGAAGTCAGTCATCGGATATGGTATTCATAATGAAATAAGTAAATGGTGACTCCATAATTGCACCTAAGGCTAGGCAACCAAACTGGCTGAATCAAATTGATCGACTTGGTTTGGTATGATTTGTTTATTATTTAACTTCAGTGAGAAATTGAATCGAACCGGCTGGTCTAGTTCACAATTTTACAATTTTCAAACCATCAATTTGCTTGATTTGAACTGAGAACAATAAAATGATGAATATTTCCAAAAGTTGTTGACAAAATAAATTGAACACTAGATCTCCACTTTCCATTCCCACCAAAAATTTTCATCTTCCTTTCTTTGTCTCTCTCTTGACTTCGGACTTAGATATGTACTCCACCTCAAATAATGATGTGTCAAATGTCCCAAGTCATTCATTGGCTCTGATACTAATTGTTCTAAACTTTGTCACCTAGGTCTTTCATAATTTATTAGGCTCATGAACCATCCAAGTATGAGGATTTATCTCAACAAGTATGGGCGCAATTTAGAGAGAGAGATAGAGCTGCCACTTAATATACCCATTTATATGCACAATTATTTTTCCAATGTAGAACAATTGTATTTCATCTACAATTTCCAACATGTATAATACACGACATGTGTGATATTTTGTCATAAAATACATTGGTGTTATTTCTGGTGAAACCACATACTTATAACTTGTATTTATTTTGACAAGTTTATGATGCAAGATTTTATATCCTTCAAATGTTTCTATAATTAGGGCTCACCAATTTGCATGCATCTCATCAAGACACTTGTAAATTGTAATGCTACTTGTTTTATTCTTTTCCAGGCGGTGCCACGTCACATCAGTAAGCCTTTAGCGGTTGCCGACCAACGCTAATACGCTATCTTTGTTAACAATGTCTTTATTATCGATATCATTATCATCTCCCTCTCTACTTATGATAATAGTAACGTTATGTATATATATAATGTAGTCGGATGATAATATCGTACAAATAGTTTTGTGAATACTAGTCTTATTTAAAAGGCTTGTTTATCTCTACGAAAGAGGAGAATGGTTATCGGAATTCCAAAATACTCACGACTTTAAAGTTTCTTAATCAAGTAATTTTTCTTGTATTATTGAACATGAGCGGCTTTGTTAGCGAATTAATAATTTTATTAAAAGACTCACTAATCAAAATATCTTTATATTCGACAATAAAAACGCTCATGTCATGTTAGATAAGACAGTGAAAGTAGTAAATATTTTATAAGACTATATATATATAATTTGGTAATAACATGACATGATCCAGCAGCAGCAGCCGGACCACTTCAATATGCTAGCTCTCCATCTAAATGGTATTGTGGGTCAACGTCTTCATCATGAGGACGACCGGTAACCTTCCATTATGTTGACTTTTTTGTTACTTAATATCATTCATGTTTAAATATCTCTCTGCATGCACATAACATTCCTCTCCATCTCCATCCAACCCACAGTTTTCATTGTAGAATATCAAAATATGTGTATTCAAATGGTTTAAAGAAAAAAAATATCCAATATGCATATAAAATTGCTCAAATTTGACAATATTATAATAAGGCCAAATGTAGAGGCAATCAAGTATTTTGACTTCCTCACTCCTCATCTTGTCATCTTGAAACGAAAAAACAATTATTTATTTATTTTTCTAATATTTCATATATTATCATATTATTGGGTTTAAGACCTAAATAACAATTTGTCAACGAGATCTAGCTTATTAGTAAAAAAAGATCTTAATTTGCATATCAATGGTCTTCGATTCGAACTCTCATGGCACATTGACTCCCCATTCCTAATCCTAACTTTGGCAAAAAAAAATTAATAATTCAATTTAAGTAATAATGTTGTATGATATTAGGGTGTTAGTGAAGCTACATATGAGTTATTTATGACTAGCATAAATAAATACCAACAATTTAAGATTGAATTATGGAACAAGTTATGAATACAGGAATTATGCTACGCCACATATCTGAAAGAAAGAATGTGAAATGATTCGTAGAGAACCCATTAAAATAACAATATGTATCAAGAAAAATAAATATTTGTTTACCAAAAAAATTAAGAAAGAAAAGAAGCAAAATCCCTACCGGCAACGGAACTTTATATAACATAAAGGAGACAAAAGAACAAGGTAACAACTCTAGTAATTATATTAATTTAAATAAAAGGGAACCACATTTTCTTTCTTTTAATACTCCTTATTTTATGTTTCAATAGTACATACAGAATATTTTATCATCCATTCAGAGTATGTGGCAGTGTATATAATACATTTCTCAGAGGATGAAATAATACGAAAAATAAAAAATTGTATAAACAATACAAATCTTAGACTACCATGCATTCAAATTCCAATGGCATCAAGAAGTTCAGTGTGTTGAGACACAGAAACTAGTGAATTGGCTACAATGGCACCACTAGCAGCAACTGCAGGGACACCAATGCCAGGAAAAGTAGAATCTCCACAACAATAAAGCTGAGGGATGCCTTGTATTGCTGGTCCGTATGTTCCTCGGTTCCTTCGGAGAAATCTCTGATGTGTCAATGGAGATCCGACTAACTTAACCTCACATTTCTCTCGGCTAAAGCCAGGACCAACTGCACGCTCCACGGCTCTCCACATAACCTGAATTACAAGTGATGAATCATAGCAATGGATAAGAAAAATAAAAGAGATCAGAAGTTGTTACAAGTTACAACAGTAACAAATTTGAGATAGGAGAATGATTTAATGAAGTGTAAGAATTGAACTTAATCAGGTAAAGCTTTAAAGGGGCCAGTGGGGAGAAGGTGATAGTCAGCCATATGCAAATGTTAGAAAGACTATTTCCTACTGTTGATTTCCAGTTTACATGGAAAGTTTTGCTGAGCTTTGATGGTAAAAACCAACCAGTTTTGCTGAAATTGTTCGTATTTTAGAAAAATATGTTATATTGCTAGATAAAGTTAAGGAGTCTCAGCTGATCAACAGGTTTTTATAACAGCAGGTTAAAATCTTTCCACTTGCTCAAGTTTCTAGTTAATAAACTGAAAACTTGATCTTAGAGAGACATGAAGTGTTGCTCATGCTAAGTTTCACTAGTCTTAGCTGATCAACATCTGAGAAACCACAAAGGAAAATAGAATTTGATTTATCAATTGTACACTATCAACATATTGTGCGAGAAGTTGGTGTATATTATATGTCGGTTAGGTCTCTATAATTGTATTAGGGGTTATGTTTGGCTTTTCTTTTTTTAAGGCTGCACTATATATATATATATATATATATATAATCTTTTGTTTTGTCTTCTTTGAATTCAATTAATAAGAGTGGCTGTAAGTTTGCAATTGGATTCTACATGATTGGCTCACGCTGCAGAATTAATAAATTGAATGACAATAAATGAAGGTAGCATATGTAAGTACCTCAGATCTCTCAGCTTTGAGCTCTTTGTATGCAGAGCTTTTACGGTCAAATCCTTTCCACAAATCAAAGGGTTCAGTTCCTGGAAGATAAGCATGTAACACATGTTTCCCAGGTGGTGCCAGATCCGGACTTAGTACACTAGGTACAGATATCAAAACAACATTCTGGTCAGCATCCACTCCTCTATCCCAATCATTAACAACTATATGATGAATCCCCAAGTCCTTCCGTACGTCCTGGTTGTTAAGCAGAATTTTGAACACATTATTTGAGAGAGAATTTGGATCATGTTACTACTTATGTCAGCTTCTTATAAGAACACTCACCTCTGCATCAAATCCCAAATGAAGATGCATGAATGATTCACATTGAGGAGTCGTCTTAGTCCTGTCCAGATATGACTTTGGAACAACTTCCTTAGGTAATAGATTTAGAGTGTCCCACATAGAGGCATTGCTAACAACAGCCTTTTTAGCACGTATAAACTGCAGCATAAATGTTTGTTCGAGTGTTAACATCAAACTAAAAGTAATTCAGTTTAAAGACTTCACAGTATATTTTATCACACATAATTTACTTACTTGACCGCTTCTTAGCTTGACTCCAGTGGCTCGACCATTTTCAACAACAATCTTTTCCACATGACTTCCAAGAGAAATCCGTCCACCAAACTTCTTCAATCCCCGAACAAGAGCATCAACAATTGCACCACTTCCATGAAGAGGGTACTCAAGACAGCAGCCTGGCTTATACCATTCCGCAAACATGTAAATCTGAAAAATTGGAAAGAGAAAAAAAAGGTATATGTGATGCTGTAATCATATGACAACATCTTACATCAAACTTACATATATGTTTAAAGCTGGAAATCATATAAATAAGAAATAATGGGATGTAACACTTAACAGATGAGCTAACTCTAAAACAAATGCATTTCAAAGTATCCTAAAAAATAAATAGAACAGTACACTTAGTTGCAATTACAAAAGCTGTACAATTTGTGATATCAAGATGGTAAGATGAAAGATAATTATTTGAATATGTATCAACTTAAGAGTTATAGGGGATTGGTGCTTTGTAGCGGCTATAAACTAACATTTAGCAATAATCAGATATTGTTCACCGCCAAAACCAAAAGTAACCTACCATAGCTAAACATGTAGTTAAAGAATCAGAAAAATCATTAGTTGTGGCTTATTGCATGTAACAAGTTGGACAACAAGCGCAGAACTCTAAACAAGCTTCTAGCAAAGCATATGCTAAGCATAGTTATTATAGCAATCCCTAAGAGATTTCTGTAGGAATTAATGCATATTAGTTACCATCTCTGCTGAAAGTATACCATTAGATTTCACCCCAGCAAGCAAGAAAGCCAGTAGGTCCACCCAATTATGTATAAAGGGATCTTTCAGTTCCAATGAGTCAATGATTTCTGAGAATGGTCTGAGAAGCTTTGTGGCACCAAGTGCTCCCTGAGGTCCCATTTGTACAAAAGATGTCAAGAGAGAGGGAGCATATCTTGCAGCGGCAGTGGAAAGAACACCCAAATCCCCTCGGATGGAAAGTGGAGGCAGAGCCATTGCAGCTGCAGACAATGGAAGAATGGCATCCTGTAGAAGAGTTTCATTTTTCCTATGAGAGGTAACCTGAAAGAAAACTGCTGTGACAAGAATATGGAGGTATATACATAGGTATTTCGTTTTAGAAGAAACCATATATTCCAGTATGAGCTTTCTAAAGGTCAAAGGATACCAACCAATTTTATGATCATTACTTTGTCCTTTTTATTTCAAAATATTAAACCTAATTATGTCCACAGAAAAATTATTGATGGTACTCACAAGAAGTTTTTTCCATTCTCGAACAGCATTTGCACTTGCATACTTCTCCAGGTCCTGGAAGGGGAAGAAAAACTAAACACAGTGAGTGAAAACTCCTTGACTATAAACTGCTCAGTGAATTATTTCTGGGACAAACTAACCATTAGAAAGAGGTTAGACAGCAACAAAGGGGATAGGAAATAATCTAGCAACACAAGCAATAGGCAAATTTATTGATTAATGATTAGGTAGCGTCTACTCTTACAGGGTTAAGAATGATCCGAGAGATACAAAAGCATCAATAAGCCTCATAAGTCAAACCAATGATTAAAATGATGAAACCTCAACAATCATAATGAGAATCCACCTTGTAAAATTCTGTGGGGCCAATGCGCGACAGAAATTCACCTTCAGGTAAGTAGACCATCCATGAATCATAACTAGCACAAGGAATTGTCTCACCCAATGCATCAAGAACCTGGAAAATCATCGAATCAGCAAATCATTGGACTCATTTCCAAGTTTTCTTAGACATTGCTTTAAAGTCAACTCTATGAAAAATCTTTTGACTATCTTTTCTCAAAACAGCCTAAAGTTCCAACTTATAATGTACTAAATGAAAGGAAGAAATGTCAGTGTAATGATTACATCAACTAGTGACCTGGGTCGAGTTAACGCCCACATTCCAAGCAAACTCCCTCAATGATTTTGATCTTGGATTAAAATTTAGACTGCTTTTTTATTATATCGATTTTTGTTGTGCTGCAAGTTTATCTATGCTATTAATAGAAAGAAATGAAAGTAAATCTAAAGCAAACCTTGACTGACACTACAAATGAGTCCTCATCATAATGACTGAAAAGCAACAAAAGAAAAATGAAGGAACAAATTACCTGACTAAGAGGATTAGCCTGAGGGCCTTTGGACTGAAAACCAGAGAACAGAGATGGGCCAGAGTCAAATTTAAAGCCTTTAATGTCAAACGAATGAGCAGCACCCCCAGGCAGATCATGACTCTCTAAGACAAGAACATCTTGCTGGTACCTAGCTAAGAGCCCAGCGCAACACAATCCACCGATACCACTTCCAATGACTACAACATCAGCCTCTGGTTTCCCTGCACAATAAATGGAGGCATTTATCAGAAAACTACTGAAACAACTATGGAGAGGAGGACTCAACCATCTTCAGAAAATCATTGAAAATGTCATGCATCAAAAGACCAGATAATGCAACACTAACTCTCTCATTTCGGCAGTTAGGAAAAGACAGTTTAACTGGAAACCATGCATGGAGCGTTTGACACGTCCCATTTCCTTAACCAAGAATCCTTCCTAACCCTCAAACTTAAATCTCAGAAGCTGATTAAGTTGGACATCAGAAAGCAAAACCTCTACCTAACTCAATCTCATTTGCCTAATTCAGATTCAAGAATCCATTTTAGTAATAGAATAGCATTGCACATGGTGACATGAAGGTAGCAAAGCAACAAAACTACTACTAAACTACTAAATAATTCAAAATTTTAACCGTAACACTTGGGTGAAGGAAAACCCAGAAGAGAGTGTGAGAGAGTGAGTCCACCTGGGAAGGATCTCTTTTCTTTGGCAGAGACAGCTCCAGTTGAAGAGGGCACCTGACTGACGGAATTTCGCGCCAAAACGGAATTTCTGACCGTTGAGGAGTTAAAAGTGGGGGAGAGAGGTTTGAAAGACCGAAGAGTATTATTTGGAAATGCTGCCATTACCACCAAAGTTGATAAGCGATAAGAAAAGGACTACTCCTTTGAGAAGAACACATGCAATGCAATGAAACGAAATGCAAGCTCAGCCTTTTCTTTTCTCAGTACATGTCAATGCTCTCAGTTTTGAGTTTTGAGTGCTTGGTTGGTACTGAAGAGTAGACTTGTAGTTTTGACGCTAACCACGTCCCCAGTTTTCTTTTCTTTGCTTGCCACTTCCACTTCCACTTCCACTTCTATCTCCATCCATTGATTTATTTGTTATTTTATCCATCAAGTGCAAAGACTTTTTTGGGCTCAAAACTCCAAATTTTCTTGGGCCCAAAACTCCAAACTTCTTTAGGCCTTTCATTCTATTTCTTTTCTTCCCAGCGATTGCAGGACAGGCGGTCAGGAACCGTGTCTATTTCTCTACTATCCAGGTCAGAAATAAATAATAATAAACAAAGACACCCCACAAAAGTAGAACAAATCTGATTTATCCTCTCTTTTCTTTTTGCATCTAGGACTGAATTTGCAAGATGCAGCAGCTATCCAAAACTCCAGGCAACTCCTGTTCCCGTCCAATTTGAAGTGTATTAATAAGTTGAAATGATTGAAAAGCTAATTTTAAAACCTAAAAAAAAACGGCAAGTCAATCCAGAAGAATGACCGATCAGAAGCCAACAGCCATCGGGCTAGCCAGGTAGAGCAATACAATCTATATGCTGCGAAGAGTCATCTCCCAAGTTTGCAAAACAATGCCTTCTGCGAGAGAGAGAGAGAGAGAGAGAGAGAGAGAGGGGCAACACAAATTATGTTCCGGTAATTAAAACACTACCACAACCTGTATTCAATCTCATATAATATATGATAGATATACATAGAGAGAGAGAGAGAGAGAGAGAGAGAGAGAGAGAGAGAGAGAGAGAGAGAGGCAACACAAACTATGTTCTGCAATTAAAAGCACTACACTCTGTATACAATCTCATTCATATAACAGCAAAGCAATGTCTCCGTTAAAACAAGGTGAAACACTGCCAAAACATAGACCCAACCAATCAGTCTATATCAACTCCAATTATAGTCAACCACCGGCCATCAATTGCAAAACGGTTGAAGTTGTCTTCTATTCAAAACAAAACCCCTTCAGAGTACCGGAGAAGATACCAGGGCCTTTAAACAATGCTAACTCGTAGAAATAAACAAACTTTAAAGCCGTATATAGTGCTCCGCTTTTATATTTACAGTTTAACTAATGGACGACATCATCCACCTATAAAACCTAAATATCCTGATAACCAGTCAAGGACAAGAATGACCATCCATAACTCTTCTGAGAGGAACCCGTTGGTGTGGGCACCGTGATAAAAACTGTGTTGTTATATACGTTAATGATGCTGATGTCTTTTTCTGTTTTTCCTTTTCCCTCCTATTTCCATGCTGTCAACAACAAACATGCGCTTTCTTCAAACCCATAATATATTTATATACCCACATCTCTCCTTCATTCAGTATGGTTTTCCAAAAGGATGCTGAAACTTCGTTTACACCTGGTAATCCGTCCAGAAAAACAGACAGGCTCAGGCCAATGCAACATGCATGCTACGAAGGTTCAAGTAGCCAAACATCACACTGCAAAGTAATAAACATATAGCCAATATAAGTCATTTATAAAAGGCAAAATCCCAGCTAAGCCTCTTGTAAAATGAGCCTTTTGGCCCCTTTTCTCCAATTCTTGCGACACATACTAAATCATGCATACATTGATTTCTTAATTACCTAGCACATATACCATGTGAACACAATATCTATTATATTATCTTTAATGCTGGTAGAGCATCAATGGATCATATACCATATGAACACAATATCTATTATATTATCTCTAATGCTGGTAGAGCATCAATGGATTAACAATGTCAGACTGTAAAAAGAGATTCCCAAACTGAGGAAAACATACAGCAGCCGAGAGAAGCCTCTGGAAAGACATGAACCTTTAAAAGAAACTAAAGTTCGTTATCAAACTCATGTAGTCGTGTATGCAGGAGTTCTAAAAATGGTAGCATTAACAACTATTGCAATCCATGAAACCAGGGTTTCGTCAACATCAGGCACTCATTGAGAATATCAATTTATTGAGATTACATTCATGGACACTTTTTATGTCAGATTGCAGCATATTTATGAACTACAGAGACAACTCAATTTTTTAAATAGTAACTTCTCTGAAATTTGGGATGCTGAAAAGACAATTAAAAATCAAAGATTTAGAGAAACAGCGAAAGTAACCTATTAGTGAAAAGACCAGAAATTAGGCTTAGGTGGGAGCGACATATGCATCATAATTTCTAGACAACAAAAGGTGCCCAAATGAAAGGAGAAGGTAAAACACCAAGAGACAGACAAAGACTAGCGGAAAAGAAGTAATAGAAAAATTCTAAAAAGTTGGATTTAATACAAGATACTGTGTAAAATACAAAACAATGGAACGACAGAGTACTCATATGATGATGATGATGATATAAAATTGAGCCAAAATTAATCTTCCAAGAACTTACCAATGCAAGAAAAAAAATATCCTTAAGAACCAGAACTTGACTTCTGAACCCACACTTGTTTCTGCACACACATTAAGTAAATGTTTCACTACCTATACCACAATGAGTAAAAAAAGAAGATACTGACTACTGAATGCACGTAAGCAAGCATGCAAAACAAAGTTGAAGTACCTCATGGGAGCCATAGCCTCTTTTTGAATGTTTTCCTTCACCTGCAACCGGTGAGCCATCAAGATCCCTAACACCATGTGTTGTTCCTCGGCGACCATGATGTTTATGGGAGCCTACATCAAATATCAACAATGTCCAAATGATTACTACATCAATCAAAATGCACCAACACAGATGCATAGATGCTTTGATGTGCAAAAACATTTGTGAATCATATAGAAACATCATTTAAAATCAAAGTTCCCAACAACAAAATGACCTAAAAAGAATGATTGCTATGTCCAGTTGCAAGGACACTACCAAGGACCAAGGACCAGTTGCTAGTCAAAATAGTAGATACCTGACAAATAAATAGCTTTTTAAGTTTCATACATTAGGTTTTTCTTCTCATATTTCCGTTTTCTCTCTCAAATGTTTAATACAGAAATTTTGTCAATTTCTCCGTCCATATTTGTGTTTTTGGACACTCAACGTTGCCCCCCCAACATGGATAGTTAATACCTTGGTTTTCCCCAATCAGAGAATTTGATGTGTCAAATCTCATATCTCCACGACTTCCTAAAACATAGCAATTTACAATTAGATTTAGAACACAGTGACAACACACAAAACTATGCCTCATAATCTCTTAAAAGTTTCAAGCTACATCTGTCCACAATATGATCAAATATTCATGGCAAGGAATATAAACATTGATCTGAAGAGTACCCAGCCGTGTAACCCTAAAAAAAAATTCTTTGAATATAAGTCACACCTTCTGAAGAATCTAGCAGTGAGTGAGCAGGTTGAAATGCAGATGACAAAGACTCATCACTTGCAGATGATCCATCTAAACGATTTAGAGGAGTCCATACAACACGATCAGGTCTCTCCTTATTCCTTATCCGTTTCTCCTGCTTCTCGCTACAAATACCATGCAAGTCATTCCCAACAATATTATAATCTGGAGCGCCATTTGTATCCTTTAAAATCAATTGAACGTGTTGGGACCGAGGAGGTCGTTTGTCCCTATCTGAATTCGAAGTCTGGATTTGTTGCGCAGAGTAAATCCCAGAAGACTGACTTTGACGTGCATCCTTGTTTAGAAGTATTCCTCTTATAATCCTCCCATTTTCTTGACGGCGCAGGTTTTGTTTCAGTGCAATTGTACCACCCATGTTTTTAGCAGATGAGCTCTGCTGCTGTGACATGTTCGCCGGAACCTGCACAAGGAGTTTGAGACATGAACAGATGTCAAAAGAGGCCAAATCACTTGGAGTGCAAGGTCTTCAGCCAGTTTTTGTGCTTTGCCGTATTTATTAGATGAACATATTCTTTGCACCAGTTAATAGTTAATTTTTAAGAATAAAATGCTTAAAAATTGATATATAAATACCTAGACTTTCCAGAGGAAAATGCACATAATAAATAACTTATGCAAACTAAGTGCCATGCTCAGTTGTAGGTTGATATCATTTCTATAAATGATACTACAATACAACCCACGATAATATTTAGCAAATTGAAGCTGTCACCCCAGTGCACTATATCTAACTTGAGTATATATTCCAGTCTAGAAAGTAGCTATGTACGTCTTTATGACTACATTATATGCAGCCATAGCCACTATTTCACATCTGAGTCTAGCGGAAAATGATGTCATGATATGCAAAAAGTACACTAGGATGTAAATTGTAACTGTCATCATCTAGCATATTAACAAAACTACATAGGGACATAGAAATAAACCCTCTCAACCCACCTGCCACCTATGTGCACTATATCCAACTAGATTAAATACTCCAGTCTAGACAGCAGCTAAGCACACGTCTTTATGGCTACAGTCCATAGCCCCTATTTTCCACAATCACATCCGAGTCTAGAGGGAAATTATCTCACGATGTGGAAAAAGCAAACTAGGATGTACATTTTAACTGCCATCACCTAGCATCTTAGCGGAACCATATTGCAACATACAAATAAACCCTCTCCACCCACCATTGAAAATAAACATATGTAAAACAAAACGAGAACCTAGTAAATGAGATTGGGCAGTATGAAAGAGGTTTACATGAGATATCTCCCTCGCATCAGCACCAGAAACTCCTGAAATAAGAGAAGAGGTGGTCAACAATCAAAGATAAAAATAAAAATAAAAACAAGTCACTGTAAGAAGAGATTCAGAAAATAAATAAATGAAACTAAAAAAGCTTCACAATCCAGTACCACAAATGCCCAAACCACGGAAATATGAATTATACAAATAATTTCTACCTCGAAACAGGTATTTCAACGAGGGAGGATAAGAAACATACATATTCAAAGTGTGTAGGGACACAAATATAAGCTTGCAACTGCATAACTGCCATTTTTCTCTAACTAAAATTAAAAGTATATCAAACTAAATGAAAAAATTGAAATGGGAAAATCTACAAACAATAGAACTTCTTTGCTATCAAATGCTCAAAAAAAAAAATTTGCATCAACCAAATCAAACTATAACCAAAATATGACCAACCTTCCAATCTTTATGAAATAAAAACCTTAAGTTCCATATATGAACAAAAGTTCAAAGTCCACCAGGCCTATGAGGAATTGATTGGAAGGAAAAGTATAGTTCTTGCAACATAATCGCAAGATCCAGAAAAACGAAAAGGAAAAGAACCCCTACGTAAAATGTTAGGAAGTTTAAAAGAGTTACTAAAAGTTATAATTATTCCCCTTCATAGACAAGGAAACCCATTGTATGATCAGACATGAGTGCAGGAGCGCTAGTTTGTACAAGTCATATTTTAATTAGGGCAAATAATGCCTACTCATCAGCAAAAAACACTTCCAAACAATCCAATATCATACCACTCTCCTCTTCCAAAACGTGAGTTCCAGCTGCAGATGCCAAAGTGACAGACTTTTCAGAAGGTTGCTGATCATCGCGCTTGGGTACCAGAATGTAAGTTGACTTGTCTTTGGCACTGGTGTTCTTTCTAGTATCCCTCAAAACATACTGCCAATCAGACAGGACATATTAATTCCCTTAAACCAAAATTTGACAAGCAATCAATTATAGATGCTCAAGTCTTCAAATCAAACTAGGAACTGTGAGAAAATGAAAAATAAGAAACATCAGAGACCTCATAGACCTCCCACCTACAAGAAAATAAAATAATGTAAAACCCCTGAATAAGGTAAAAAAATTCCAGCAGGAAGAGGACAAGACATACAAAAAACAATAAAAAAAAAAACCTACCAGTTCCATAAGTACTACAGAAAATCAATAAAAATATTCAAAATTTTGAAATACAAACGATAGCAAAAAAAAAAAAAAAAAAAATTATCCTTCCATATTCTATCTGTTCTACATTTTGAACGATGACATGATATATACATGAGTTGTGATCAAATATGATCACTAAATAATTTCATAGACCTCATGTTATTATAATATTCAAAGAACAAAAACAGAAAATGGGATTGCAACTGCACGCACTAATGCAGAATGTATTTGTTTGATTCTAGTGAAACTCCGGTCATTACAAGTTGAGGAATATCGACGCTTCTATTTGGTTGCGAGCCTGTATAAGGCCTTAATGAAGCTGTCATCAGAAATATCGAGGAAGAGTGGCCAAGGCAATTTCTTAACACCTGAAGAACCATTGTTTAAGGTAGATGAATACCAGACTTGATCTTAATGGAAAATGTAGTCAAGGAGCATCGAGCGAGAAACGAGAAGGGATAAGTTTTAACTTTTAAGATTAATTCAAAAAGGAAATAACTATGTTAACTGAAATTTCCTAGATGATATGATGGAAAGTAAAGATTTTCAAACCAGGTGGAGGTTTTGGATCACTGGGTTTTCAAGATCAATTAATTTCAAGCCCAATTAATAAGAGGCCAAGAGTGAGATTTGCCACGCATACAGTTATTTGTTCAGAGAAAAACAACAGCATATATAATTGTGATTTCACGAACTTCACATGCACGAAAACATGAGTACCATTGTGGCAGAATTTCTTTTCCTCTCAGAACCTCGTTTGCTCGTCGCTAAACTTGGACTTCTAGATGATGGTCCGCCAGCTCTTCTGCTCGTTTTACCATTAGTCAGTGACCTCTGTCGTGAAACATGAAATATGTTCAGAAAATCATCAATTATTATTAGCAAAAATTCCATTTCTTAGAGCACTATGCAATCAAACATGTAATGCTGAAAGTAATATTTTCCACTAATCAGTTATGTTTCCTAATCTTTTTGGTAATATAGGCTATATAAGTACCCGAGATCCAGCCTTGGAAGCCCTTTTCTGACGAACAAAATCCATTAATGGTGTAACTATGGGAGCATCCTTTCCAGCACCTGCAAGAAGAAAAGGTAATTTAAAAGTACAATAAAAGGAATTTTTTTCTTTTTTGTAAATATGACTATTTAAGTAATCTGTCTGACTAACCAGAACGCTCTGCTTCTCTTCTCTCCAATTGTATCTCCGCACTAGGAAGATTCTCAGCAGGCTTTGCAAGAAATTCAAGAAACTCCAGATACTCGGGATCTAGATGTTCATCAAGTAAATACTTGTACTTACTAACAGGAAAATGATTGTATATATAAGTCCGCATGCAACAAACGATAGCTGCTAAATTTTCTTTCAAGGAATGTTAAATATTAACTTAGTACCTCTGAATATGGTTCCTTCACGACCATCCTTCTTAGACCACTGTTTTGGAACGCGTTGTGAAGGAGCATACTCAACAATAACTTTAAATTGACTGCCTGGAAATGGAAAATAAATACTCTTAAAATTCCATGTCTTATATCAGATTGTGAAAGGTTCCTGAGTCAAATAGAAAATAATGAAGACTTTATGAGAACATAAGATAAGTCTTTCAAGAATACTCAGCAGTTTATAGACTTTCTGAGCTGCATCATTACGCACCCTGAGTTAGAAGTGTGTCTTAGCTAAAGGAAATTTCATAAAAAAATATAAAAAAATATAAAAAAATACGCATAGGTTGAATAGAGAGATATTCAACAAGACTCCTTCCAAGACAATTGATGTGTCTAATAGATCTCCTCAAAAGCAAGCTTAAACAGTACCCTTCTCATTAACAAACAGATGACCATCAAAGAATTCAGCAAACTCAATAACATCCTCTGGCCTCTTCAAATCAATGTAGGCTCTAGAATATGACGGATTCTTTTGGCTGAAAAATTTAATTCAAGAAAAAATAAATTAGATAATCGTCTATCCTGCAGAACCTTCTTTAAACATTTAAAAGCTCAAGTATGACAACAATAATACTTATACCATCATGATTACAGAGATAACCCATAAATGGAACTTTCCAGATTAGAAAAAGGATCCGTGCTATTTATAAAAGTTAAAAATAAATCCCCCAGCAAACAAGAAACAGTCAGAATAAAGGATTCTTAGGACATCACATATATAGTGAGGACCCTTATTTGAAGCAGACCCTTAAAATAAAAGAAAAAAATGCACGAATTTGGAGTTGCCAAAACACAGTAGCTGTGAAACATTGCACTGCTTTCTGAATCGTGCAACCAGATATGTGAAAAAACGTTCAATTGGTGATGCCACCTATAACACTGTTTTCTTTCCATAATAAATCAAATTTAAGAAACCAAAATTGGAAAAGAATGATACATTCATCAATAAGCTGCAAGTGCCATAAAAAAAGAAGGTTAAAACACGTATTTCATTTGCGATTATATGTTAATGAATATCATTGGAGCAATTAGAACAACCCACCCACTACTCTCGCGCAATTCCAAATAGCATTAAACTAAGGTACTAACAAACCATGACTTGATAATATGAACTAAAGCAAACCCACAGACACATACATTCCCCATTTTACGGTCTCTATAGCAGATTTAAGCAAACCAAAAACAGCTAAACAAGTCTAAATTCAAGTAAAACCAAAAACAGAAACCTTGCTAAAAATCCCTAACCTTCTCTTCCCGGGACGGAAAGCGACCCAGTTGTAGCGGCCAGAAAAGAAAACGTCGATTTGTTCCACAAGTGAAGTTTGCGAAATCGAAGGCGGCAAGTGCCGTAGCACCACCTTGGTTCGATCCAACTGGTCCTTCAACATTTCAGCCCCAAAAAGAAAAACCCTAGAAACTAACTAAACCTACGCAGAGCCGAACGGTTTTAGAACAAATTGTTTTAAAAAAGACACCAAAATCTCCGTTAGATTACATCTTCCTGCCGTGGAAAGAGAATTGATCGAGGTCGATTTCGAACCCTAATTCTCAATTGAACCCCCATTCACCAATCGCCATGCATGAAAAGCTGTAGACGCAGAGTGAGTTTGAAAACGGTTGTGTTTTGGTTTGGGCTTTCAAGACTCTTTTTCTCTCTGGGTTTTTTCAGTACGAAGAATTGATACAGTGGGGAGTATGCGTACGTGGACTTGTCCTATATGAAACCTGGTAGCAGCGGCATAACACGCACATTTTAATGCGTAGCAAAACCTCGAATAAATAAAGTGGCTACTCAAAAAATAACTCAAAAATCTTGTTTATTTTTTTTTTTTTTGGGAAATACTGACTATAAGATCTAAAAATTTATCTGATATTGAACTCTGATTTATTTTTAAGATTTAAAAAAATTGAAATTAAAAATCTGAAACCCTACATTACCAAATTGAAATTAACAAAAGGAAAAGGAAAAAATATTAGAGCCAATCCAATTTGAAATATGTGAGTCAGAGAGTAAGGATGTCATAAATATCTGTCGAGCCAAGTCCCAACCCTAATAAGGGGAGATTTCGGACAAAAATTGGGGACAGGTACGGGAATCCTCGAACTTGAAAATTCCCCAGAATCGAGGCCATATGGCATTGTTATCCTCATCCCTAATCAGGGCCAATAAGTAATATATTTATTTTTAATTAATATATAAATAATATAGCCATGTATACTTATGATATACTATATTATTTATTTAGTTTTGTCAAATTCAATTTAGATTATTTTAAGTTGTTAAGTTAAATTCTATAATTCAATTTAATGTAACTGGATAATAATAAAAAATTAAAAATGAATTTTAAGTAATTAAAAAATCGAGGATTTGGGAGGTAGGCTCCCTAATGGGGATGCGAATTTCTCAATTTTTTTTTACTGGGGATGGAGAGCATAGATGGGGATGATACTGTCATGCTTGGCCTTGAACCTACCCGTTCCCATCTTTCTTCTTCTTTTTTTGGTAACAAGGTGGCCTAAAAGCCCATCACAGCAACACCTAAGCAGCAACAAAATGATGCCTGGACACACCTATGGCATCAGTATACAAAATATCCTTTAGGAAGTCGGAAACCGTCTCATAGAGTTGAATCCCAAGACCAAAACCAATTCTCCTAGCAGACAAAGCATTAGCAGCAAAAATCTGCTAATGATAGATATGGTTTAAAAATGGGATTTTCTTGAGTTGTTATTGAATGAGCTTTTGAAAAATGGGTTTTACCAAATGCAAATTATGGGTTTTGGACTCACTTTGTTCTTGAGTTTACAAAAATAGATCCAAATAGGATACCAAACGGACCCGTAGTTTTTACGCCAAAGGTAAGGCAATACATGTGTAAGGCAAAATCCTAAGGGGCCGTTCAGCAAAGTTTTCAAGACCCCGTTTTCATTTTCTACAAAAAACACGTTCGGTATGTCGTTTTCATTTTCACTGAAATTGTTTTATGAAAACAATTTCAGGCCGAGCTGAGGCAACAGTTTGAGCAGCTTAACAAAGATTTGGTAGACGAGAAGGAAATTGCTTTTAGGCTTGAAGGAGTAACTTGTGAGTGAATCAGTGGATCATTGTAATACAAATTTCTAGTTATATTCTAGTAAAAAACATATACATATTTTCTATATTAATTATTTTTTCACAATTTTTCTTTCCAGATGGTTTCTCCAAATTTATATAAGAATATCAGATATAGTCATTACTCCTAGATTCTGAATTGTGAAAGTTTTTGTATATGATTGACTGGGTCTCTCTCTCTTGTGATGGGATTCTTTCAAGACAGGACAACAAGACAACAGGACAAATAGACGTGTTTAGCATGTTAATGGACACTAATAAAATAGTGCTTTTTTTCTTTTAAGAAGGGAA